TTAAGAAACCCCCTTTTTTGAACCAGATTACTAAATTTAAGTTTGTTCCTGAAAAATTTTTGGGGAGGCCCCCCCCCATTTTCCCCAAGCTGTCTGTAAAGCCTTTTTTTTGTGTTTTATGACTCCCAAAAATTCTAGATGCCAGGAAAAGCTTTCCCCCCTTTTCTTGTTAAAAAAAAGAAGCAAATGGGGCCCCCAAGGGGTTTTTTTGCAGTTTAAATAAGGGGGGAAACCCCAGCAGTGCAGCGGGTGGGGGTTTGGGGGGGAGGAAAACCCAGGGCCCGCCCTTTTTGAATGGATTGAAAAAGGATAAAGCTTTCTAAATAGAAGAAAAAGATCAGATTTGCCCTTGCAACTCTCCAAAGATGTCTCTGTACTCTTTGCTTTCTTTCCTCCTATGTCAGGTAATGGAATGTATGTCTCTGTTGTTCTGCAGTTTCTGGTGTAGGTTTGTGCATTGTCTTATTTCTAAAGTGTATGCATTGTCTTATATTGGATTAAACTCTGTAATTCTGTGACGTCAACACGCAATGTTGGTTTTATTACCAAACGCAGCTCGCCGAGTGGACCTGGGGAGGGAAGAATCAGAAGCCAATCTTTTTCCAAAGTTAACTATGTTAGAATATTTTCTTCCTTTACAATAGCGAGCGCCTCTCAGAACAACAAAAAAACATAAATAAACAACATCACACAATGTACACTAAACAACAGCGGTTTTGTGGGAAATGTAGGATCATCTAGGTGTCTAAGCAGTGGAGCAAATGCGCCAGCAGGCAGCATCGCGAGATCCGGAGTATCCTGCATAATACTCCATTTCCTATAAGTCATTGCGGGTCTAAGCGGACTGTTCAGCTCGGGCAGAAATGGTGGTGGCTAAAATTATAGTTATATATATTCGACCCAAAATAAACATTGAACGTGTTTTTTAGGCGACAATGTAATTTTGTTTTTGACCAGTTGGTACAATTTCACTAGCCTAAATCTAAAAAACGAGCTCTTACATTTTTTTTTCCTAATAGGGCTCGGGATCCGCTTTGCATTCTGGGACGTGGTTGCCATGTTGACGGCTACGCTAACAATTTCATAGCGCCGACATAACGTATTTGCACGAGGAAAAGCAGAAGAGAAGAACGATGTTGAAGTCCCAAAAAGGATCCGGAATTTACCGGGATACACTTAATAGAGAAGCCAGGGACCGGTATGTTGACAAAATCAGCATCATAAATAATTTGGATCCGTAAGAGGTTCCAAATAATGAGTGGAGCACCGACGACGAGTTGTTGCCACTGTTCTCCTTCTCGGACGTCTTCGGCTACCTTGTTTGTGGAGTAAGCGCATATACCTCAGAACAATACAGAAGCTACAAGTCCTTGGAGTCTCATGTGCAGTTCACCAATGGATGGGTTCAGGAGCTGCAGCTCATAAAGCCAGCAAACACTGGGAACACAGTGATACGCACCAAGGTAAGCTGTGTTCAGCGAGCTCTGACAACTGCTAGTTTAGCAACTTCTAACCGCTAGTGCTGACAACCACTGACGCATGTAATGTTCTTTTAACTAGCTGCTATGTGTTTCAAAGGTGTAGTTTGTAACGGTAACTGCCAACCCTCCGGGTTTCTCACGTATCTGAGCCTTTTCCTGCTGCAGATGTAGGATCAACATGAACGTTAGCCAGACCCGGCTGCAGAAAGAACTTAAAGGGAGGGGGGCATTCCATTTGATTTACTTCAAGCTTAACACTAGCTTGTGACCATTCATTCAGTGAAAGGAATCTCAAATCTTTATCAAAACATTTATTCAAATTATTTAAAAAAATTTAAGAATAATTTGCTGAAATAGAAATCCTTTTCCCCCCCCTTTTTTTTTAAAAAACCAAAAAAAAAAACCCCCCCCCAAAAAACCCCCCCCAAAAAATTTTTTAAAAACCCCCCACCCGGAAAAAAAATTTCCCAAAAAAGGCCCCAAAAAAAAATTAAAAAAAAAAACCCCAAACAAAAACCCCAAAAAACCCAAAAAAAAAAAAAAAAAAACCCCCCCCCAAAACCCCCAAAAAAAAAAAAAAAACCCCCCCCCAAAAAAAAAAAAAAAAAAAAAAAAAAAAAAACCCCAACAAAAAAAACCAACTCCCCCCCCCCCCAAAAGAAAAAACCCCCCAAATTTTTGGGGAAAAAAAAACCCCCCAAAAAATACAAAAAAAAAAACCCAAAGGAAAAAATTTTTTGGGGGGGAAAAAAACCCCCAACCCAAAAAAAACCCCCCAAAAAACCCCAAAAAAAAAAAAAAAACCCCCCCCCAAAAAAAACCCAAAAACCCCCAAAAAACCCCCAAAAAAAACCCCCAAAAAACCAAAAAAAACCCCAAAGGAAACCCCTTTCCAAACAACCCAAACCCCCCCCCAAAAAAAAAACCCCCCCAAAAAAAACCCCCCCCAAAAAAAAAAAAAAAAACCCAAAAAGTTTTTCCCCAAAAAACCCCAAAAAACCCCCCCAAAAAACCCAAAAAAAAAAAAAAACCCCAAAAAAAAAAAAAAAAATTTAAAAAATTTTTAAATTAAAACCCAACAAAAAACCCAAAAAAAAAAACCCCCGGCCCCCCAAAAAAATTTTTTAAACCCCCCAAAAAAAAATTTTAAAAAAAAAACCCCCCCCCCCCAAAAACCAAAAAAAAAAAAACCCCCCCCAAAAAAAAAAAAAAAAAAAAAAAAACAAAAAAAAAAACCCCAAAAAAAAAAAAAACCCCCCCCCCCCCCAAAAAACCCCTTTTGAAAAAAAAAAAAAAAAAAAAACCCCACCCCCCCCCCCCAAAAACCACCCCCCCCCCCCCTTTTTTTCCATAAAAAATTTTTTTTTAATTTTTTTCCTTTTTTTAAAAAAAATTTTTTTTTTTATAAAATTTTAAGGGTTTTTTTTGGGAAAAAATTTTTTAAAAAAAAAAGGGGGAAAAAAATTTTTTCCCTTAAAAAAATTTAGGGGTTTTTTTCCCAAATTTTTTTTTTTAACCCCAAAATTAAAACCCCCAAAAAGGAAAAAAAAATTTTTATAAAAAAATTTTTTTTTAAAATTTTTAATTTTTTTTTAAATTTTTTTAAATTTTTTTAAATTTTATAATAAAAAATTTAAAAAAAATTTTTAAATAAAAAAATTTTTCCCAAACCTTTTTTTTCCCTTTAAAAAAGAAATTTTTAAAAAAAAAAAATTTTTTTTTTAAAAAAATTTTTTTTTAATTTTTAAAAAAAATTTTTAAAAAAATTTTTTTCCCCCCCCCTTTTTTTTTTTCCCCCCCATTGTTTTTTAAAAAGGAAAAAATTTTTTAAAAAAAAAAAAAAAAAATTATTTTTTTTAAAATTTTTTTTTATTTTTTCCTTTTTTTTTTTTTAAAATTTTTTTAACCAAACTGCCTGCACGGGCCCATTTTTGGGTTCTCAAGTTTCACTCCCCCAAAAAAAAAAAAATTTTTTGGCCCCTTTTTTTGGGTTTGGGAAAAAACCCCAAAAAAAAAAAAATTTTTTTTTTTTTAAGGGGAAAAAAAAAATTTTCCCTTTTTTAAAATTTTTTTTTTAAAAAAAAAAACCCCCAAAAAAAGGGTTGACTTTTAAGGTGTGGAATCCAGTGGAGTATTTCACTTTGACGGTGTTCCCTTTCCCTTTTGGAAATCTTCATCCATTTTTCTCTGCCAACTTTTAAACCTTTTAAAGGGGCTTGTTCCCAACCACAGCCGGTTTATTTCAGCACGCCCCGGCCCCTGACAGAAGTCCCCAAATTCCCGTCAGCGGGGCTCTCAGCTTCATCCTCACTGGGGTCTCCACTAAGATAAAAAAAAGGACAACTTTTAGCTAAATGTGCATCCCTGCGCTGAAAAAAGCCCCAGAAGCAACCCTAACGGTTTGGGAAACTGCTGGGGTTTTGTAAGGCTTTTCCGGGCGGGAAAAAGGGCATTTAATACGTCTCATCCATCCCAGGGTACGTCCCGTCCTTTGCCGTTTTCCCCTTTTCCCGTCTCCTTTATAGCGTGCAGTCTGTGTGGCCTTTATCTCAGGTGGGCCCCAAATGTAGTGATGGTGCCCAAATCCGGATGCGAGGGGTACATTTCATTTGCTGGTTTTTCCCGGGACACAATTAAAATTAAAAAATCCCCAGCAGCAGTGTTGAAAAAAAAATAGAACAATAATGTTATCCAAAGATCCTCAATATACACAATTTTTAAAATTGTATTATAATTAATTACATTTCAAAACGGCTTTTAAGCGCTAAAGGGTCCAAAATTTGTAAGTGGTGCAAAGACAGCTGTCAACCTCAGGGGTTTTTTTTTTGAACATGGAGAAAGGGTTTTTCCCGTACCCGGGAGGGAAATGGCCCGTGGTTTTTCTAAACCAAAAAAGGATAAAATGCTATATCAAATGCTACATCCCAACCAAAGAGGATGAAAAACTATATCAAATGCTAAAAAAAACCCAAAGAGGGGTGGAAAAACTAATCAACATCTCTGGGGGCCCCCTTCATGCATGTAAGTGGTTTCCCACGGTAAGGAAGGGAAAAACTGAAGGGAAAAAAATAAAACCGGGGCATCTTAAAAAATTTCCAGAAAAAAATGCAGGAACACACTCGCATTGACACCGGGATACTGTGGAAAGTTATGTTCTGTCGTCTTACAGCCGCGATCCAAGCTAGCCGACGACTCTTTGTTATCTGTGAAACTTGGTCTCCGTGTTTGCGCCTCCAGGCAGGAAAGCGTGGAAAGTTATCCCATTTTGTAGGTTTTTCCCTCGGCGATCATGTGATGCGCTGTTACAGCCCACAATACTGCAACGGTTTACCATGGTTGAAATCAAGTTACGGTGAAATTAAACGAAATAAAACACGGCTGAGAGGGAGTACAGTACGCGTTAGTCACAGGTAATAATCTAAGGAAGCCGTAAAGTGCGCCGTCAACATGGCTACCACGCAAAGTGGTAACGTCACGACGACCAAGCCCTATTCCAGAGAATTTACAACGATTTTTCTACGGACTGACAACGTTTTTTTTTTTTTTTAGAAATGACAACATTTTCCCTAGTACTAGACAACTGTTTTTCTCAGAGCTGCACAGCGTTGCTATTTTAAGATCACAGTCTGCAACTGGATTGATTTACATGACCAACCTCATAACTAAACGCTCTAACACTGGTGACCTGATTTAGAAACGTTTAGTTATGGCTGAGAAAATGTTATTTAGATTCGGTGTCATTCTGACTTCGGAGTCCTCGGACGTTGAGGTTTTAGTTCTGGGTTCGCGAGAGGAAATGGGCCACTGGGAGCCGAATAGAGCGGTTCGTATGAAAGCCTCCCACAAGCTACCGTCACCAGATCAGCCGTGTCTGTGGACCTGTGAGGTGGAGCTGGCCGAGCCGTTCAAAGACACTTTTTGGTTCAAGTTCATCAAAAGGATAAAGGATAGTTTTATCTGGGAAGGTACGCAATGGGTCATATCGATACAAACAGACATGACACTGAAACGAACGAATAAAAATGTAGGTTAGCCTAAAATTGAGACAAAATAAAGATTCAGTTATTGCATGCGCATTTGCTGCAATACACCTTTTCGTCGACATGATGGCGCCAAATTACTTTAGTATTTGAAGAACGTTTATATAACAGTTTCTCATTATGAAATAGCAAATTAGCTTATTAAGAATAAAATGACGTGTCTGAAATCTACTAGGAAGATTAATAGTGTTATATAAAGAGGTTAATTTCATTGATTTGTTCCAGGGGCTTTTTTTAAACATCTTTGAAATAAAAAAAAATGGTTAATATTCATTTAAATCTTCGATTAACCGCTGTCATTGAACAGCAAAACACTGAACAGCAAAACTAAAGCTAAAGCCATATTAGATTATAGAATTAAACTCATCTGATGTTTATATTTGAGCCATTGCATAAAAAAAGATCTAGCTTTCTGTTATTAAAAAATGTTTAGAAATTCTCTTTTTAAAAAATGTTTTTCTGTTTAGAAAAAATAAATATCTTTTAAGAGCCAGAGATCAGGATAGGGCCTTTTTAAAAAAAATCTTATGACTGCTGGGTCAAATACTGAAAAATTCTACTTTTTTGAAATGATATTTATTCAATCTAATACCACTGTCCCATGATTCTACATTTGATTGAAAAGTAAGCATTCAGGACCACTGTATCACCTGTTTGAATTCATAAGCACAGATATCAATACAGAATATTGAATATTGACCCATTAATACTTCATTTCGTCTAGGATGCTGTATATTTATAATTGATACTTTCTGAGTAATTAGGGGAAACTAACAGATAATTTATATTTTTCAGTCTCAGGCTGTCAATATGTGTTCTTTTTTGTCCACAGGTAGCGGTCCGAGTCATGACAGGCTTTGCTCGTACGATGAGAGAAATGTAGTGGATGGAGTGTACTGCCATCCAATTGATCACTGGATAGAGGAAACAGGACGCACCGATGAGATGAGACACACCACTAATTTCTACTTTAAAGTTGCAGGTCAGAAGGCCATACATTTCTCCAGGTAACAGTATATGTAGATATACTTTTTTTTAAATTTTATTAACAGTTCTTTTTATTTGTCATCTATGGTAAATCATTTTTTACATTTAGCTATAAGATCCTTTTTTATTAAGTTTTGTACACAGTCTAAGACTTTTACATCTACAAGCAAACTTCAGAAAATAATAGATGTTGTATTTTGGTGTATTAACAATTCTATGAAATACCGGTCTGTCTTGAAGGATATTTTGTTTTTCCATTTGACATGTTTGTCATTTGTGCATTATATGCATGATCCAGCTCCCAAAATGCCAGAATAAAAACAACATAGCTTTTCTTTTCAAGAAGAAAAAAATAAATTAGGTCTTCAGGGGCTTGAGTAACTTTATTTTCTTTTTACAGTATAAAAAAGGAAGCTTTGGAGAAGGATGTGAGGAGAGGCAGAAAATGCTTTACTTAGAGCTACCCTGATATTTAGATACTATTGCTGTGGGAGCCTTAAACATTTGGTCTCTAGATAACCCTCAATAGTGACTATTTCTTGAATCAGACATCAGGCAGATCTCTTCACCTAGCCACATTTCTGCAGATAAGCAGTCTTTCCTTAAAAATTGGTTTTTTCTATATATTTCTATATATATTCTGTATTTTGTCAGCAGGTTGGATTTCTGCCTTCATTATATTCTTAATCATGTTTCTTGACACAACTCTTTAATCTTGATGATAGCTACAGAAAAGATACACTCAGCTTTAATATACACTACAGTTAGGTTCTGCTTAAGGATTCTTTAGACCTCTGCCTTGGATACAATACAAATACCTTGTTCTGTTTATACGAAGGTTTTTTAGGAGTGATTTTGAAGAATTAGACCATTTTTGTTGTTTAAAAATTTTTCTAGACCCCAAATGGATTTAGGGCTAAAATCTTTGATCTTGCTAGAAATGGATAAATTCTGGGAAGACAAAAAAGAAAATCATGTTAATGGATGATTTTATCGGATATGAGCTATTTTGCTGAAGTAGTGGTCACGTTTAAAGTCTCTAGGTAGGGGAAATATGAGTGCTCGCTACATTACCCCCCACCCCACCTCCTCAGTTTTACAGTTTAGTTTTTATTTAGTTAACAGTTATCTTTTGTATCTCTGCTTCTCTCGGTATGTCTGCTTCTGTCTCCTTGAACCCCAGTCGGCCTCGGCAGTTGGTCACTCCCACTCAGCCTAGTTCTGCTTTGTTAAAAGGGAGTTTTTCCTCTCCCGTGTCGTTACATGCATGATCGGTATGAGGGATTGCTAAAGAGTCAATGAGTCGATGCATGAGTTGATGGTTTTCCTTAGAAAACTATTAACCAATCTGACTATATGATCGGGTTGAACTGTTTCCTTAAAGCCTTGAGAGGACATGTTTTGTGAATTGGCGCTATATAAATAAACTTAAGTGAATTGAATTGGTGCCTTAAGTTTCAATAATAAAAAACATGATATCAGGGATTGTAATGGGACAAAACGTAAAAAGGCTCAAGGACTTTGAATGCTTTTACAACGCCCTTTAAACACAGCTGGTGTAAATGACTTCTCTAATCTCCCATATGAAAAATATTTAAGCAAAAAATAGGCAAATATTATTAATTATTTCCTTTCTACAGAAGGAGAAAAGGGGGAAAATTAAGTATTTATTATTTATTTTATATTAAGCCATAAAGATGAGGTATGTATTTGAATAACTTGACAGTGGTATGCATGATATTAACAGTCAAACTGCAACTCTCCATCTATTTTAACCTCTTTTTGCAGAACAAACATTTTTGTTAGTTAAAACATCCACTTTGCTATATAATAAAAGCATTTTTGCACCAGTTGAATCCATATATACTCACTAGTTAGCAAACAGTGGCTGTCTTTAATGCTGTCCTTCATCTATGGTAAGTTTAAAGAGCAGTTCTTTGCCTTGTTCGGCTTCCTTCTCTTTCTGCTGTTCTCTGCTTTGATCTCCTGCCAAACATACAACTTTAAGACGTCATGAACTTCGGTTAACTGCTAAGGCATCAGCAGGAGCAAGAGACAGTAAATGTCATGTTTTAAACAAGTGGAGCTGGCGTTAGCTCTGTCAGAAGCAATAGAAAGAACTTCTCAGTATGTTTTATTACTATATTTGAGTAAGATCTACATCTTAGACTTTTGCGAATCAAAGCCCACGCATATAAAGTTTTTTGTGGGGGATAAAGTCAGCACCACGCTGCAGAAGGGACAACAGAAATGGGCCACAGATCCCTGAAGTTTTTATTGCTTTACTTGCATAAGAATGAGCTGGCCTTTCTCATGCCATCAGGTTTTAATTTGTCCCTAAAAGACCTAACAAGGCTTATGTCAAGGTCTGGTGTTCAGGAGGAAGCATGGTGAATTTGTAACTTGCCTATTAATAGCTTCTAATTAAGCTTCTCCAATTGTGCATTCATAAAGGCCTTTATATCGTACACACACTCTGCATGGTAAGTCATCAATACACTCAAAGACACTTTCTCATTTTATAACTAACCAGTCATGCTCATAATTAAAAATGGAGGAATCTAATAATTTTATGGACTATTATTTATTTTCATTTGTCAGAAAAAAAAATATATTTTTTAAACTGCTTTTTTGTCTCTCTCTTTTTTTGTTTTCAAGAGGGACAAAAAAAGCGGTTTAAAAAAAAAAAAAACAGCTGATAAGAACCACAGCACTGCAGTGGGAATTCATATATTAACAGTGTCCGTTCTGTCTTTCACGTCTCACCTCCTCTTTCTGTTGGCTTTATGCACACTAATGCTCTAAGGAATCTGCCTCAAGCCATAGGGTCCAGGAAAAAAATAGCAGGAACATGAGAGCTGTGATTGAGAATGGAGAACAATGAGAGAAGAAACATAAAGGAGAAGCCTTTTGATAGCAGTTTGAAATGGGAAAGTTAGCTTTCCCCTAATTGGCAAACTTCAAAAGTAAAAGTCAGATTTGCTCACAGGATATTACATACTAGACTACAACTTACCTAGAAACCAATATTTATTTATTTTACACATAACACATTCTTTAAGAACTGACAATAATTATAAATCTGTCCCTGCCTGCTGATCCTAGAGTTCTGCCACGTGTCTGGCTAGGAAGCTGCCCTCGACAGGTGGAACATGTGACCATAAAGATGAAGCACGAATTGGGCATCACTGCCGTGATGAACTTCCAGACGGAGTGGGATGTAGTTAACAACTCTGGTGGATGCCGACGTAACCTGATGGAAGCCATGACACCTGAGACCTTAATGCATTTGTACAAGGACTATGGCATTGTGTATGTGTGGCTACCAACACCCGACATGAGCACAGAAGGCAAGGATAAGTCTTTTTTCTTTTTACATTTAAATACTGTATAAATTATGGAGTTAGACACTATTAAAAAGGGGAATGAATTTAAAAACAAAATATAATTGAACTGAAATCTACTTTATTTTTAATTAAACCAAGCTGTGATAGTTCATTAGTCATAAACAATAAACATAAAATCCTGAAAATAACCCACTACATGTAAGAAGATTCTAAACTGTCCTTTATGAGAATAGTTTTATCCAATTCTTACTTCATATGGAACTATAGTGGTTCACCATTTGGAGGCATCTGTTTTATTTCACCAAAATAAGAGTTTAAGATTTTATAAGAGCTTAATGTGTGCAGAATTTAGTATGAATTTTGTCCATTAAGATCCAATAAGAGGAAAAAAAATTTTTAAATTGTTCACTTTTTTTGTGCAAAATGATAATAATACTTACTGTTTATCTAAATTGTGTTTCACAACTTAGTTTGTACTCCATCCATTTTTAGTGCAGCTCATCCTCCATCCTCCTATAACTGTTCATGCATACGATCAGCTTTAGATGTCATAAATGTTGGTGTTATGGCATCTAAAGTGTTAAGGCACAAGAATGTAGTTAAAACTTCAATTTTATTAAATTGGGAAGTAAAGATGATATTTATTAGCCCGCTTAAGACTTCATCTCTGACCAATGTGTAAACTGTATTTAATTTCAGCTCACTTCAATAATACACTTTAGATCCCAACAGAAAAATAAATGTGTTCTTTATAGGTATTGGTAGCTGTAGGTAGGAAGGATCTTCTATGGCACTCTGTGCTGTGTCAGTTCAAAAGACGCCTTTGTTGTTCTTTAAAAGTCTTCTGAAAGGATGCTCACTGTTGTCCCTAAGGTTCTGCATTTTAAAAAGAATATTTTATTTGTGAAAAAAATCTCTGTAGGTTCTAGAGGAGTTCCTAGAACAAAGCCAACTTTATTAGCTTGCTGAAATCATTTAAGTTATTTGATCTGATGCTGTTACCCCAGCAGAGGATGGTGGAATTGATCTCACTCTCCACAACAGACTTATAGAGGATTTGCAGCGTCTTACTGCAAAAACTGAAGGACCTAAGCTTCCTTAGGAAGTACGCTCTACTCTGCCCCTTCTTGTAGACAGCTACACAGTTGAGTCTCCAGGTGGAGAGCAAGGCGTTTATACTCCTCCACCACCTTCTCTACTTCTGCGTTCATATTAATAGCATTCAACTTCTTCCTGATTATTCTAAAATCTACTCTAATCTCCCTTGTTTTCTTCATAGACATGTGCTGAGGCCTAAAGCAGCAATGGACAGAATCTGCCTTAGAGAGGATATCACATTCTTTATCTGTGATGCTCTAATCCCTCGCAATGTAAAATCACTGTGTCCCCCCATTTTATAAACAAAAAAGTAATCAGACAATGCATTTACAGTATATTACAGAATTTGATGAATGCAATGAAATAATCTTAAAATACAAAAAACGTAGAAATCCATATATTTATTTTTCAAAAATTTTCCTAGGACCCTTATGTTAGCAGTTAAAGACTCAGCACAGCACAATTTGAGGTTGTATTTATTACTCGTAAGGTACAATATGATAAAATCTCAAACAATCCATTATAGCCAATTACAATTGGACAAATATTTATGGGTGTAAATCTTTAGTTTTACTGTGTATGGTTATATTTTTTCATAAAAGATAAAAAAAAGACTTAAAAAGGTTTCATATTTTCCTTTCACAGCATGTGGAAAAAAAGATTTCAACTACTGATGAATACTCATGTTTTACAACATCCTTTAATGTGGAATATGTGATTTACTCAATGAAGACTAGCAATACTAATTATGTTAATGTGGATCTGAGAGAATAGCATAATCATGGTGTATCTTTCTTTCTTTGAAGGTCGGATTAGGATGCTTCCACAGGCTGTATTCCTCCTTCACGGCCTCTTGGAGAACGGCCACACTGTGTACGTCCACTGTAACGCCGGGGTCGGCAGGTCCACGGCGGCTGTATGCGGTCTTCTCATATACATCCTCGGCTGGAGCCTCAGGAAGGTGCAGTACTTTGTCACAGCAAAGAGGCCACCAGTCTACATAGACGAAGAAGCTTTAGTCCAAGCCCAGCCGGACTTCCTCCAGAAGTTTGGTCAGCTGCGCTCATCTGTCTCTTACCCAGAGACTTGACAGCTGAGAGGTCTCATCTGTAATCTGGAAGCAGAGCGGAAGATTGACCATGTCTCATTCTTAAAAATGAGTCAGAAGGTGAAAATAACATGAAACAATTAAAAAAACTTCTCCACTAAACTCGAACATATGCAAATAACCCACTTGAGCTGAGTGGTTTCAGAATGTGGTTGATTTCTGAGTCTTTAGAGAGAGTTCCGCAGGCTGCCAGAAGGGATGTTGCAAGTAATTAATCATACTGTGTTAGCTTTTAACTTTGAACACTTGCCCCACACGCTGTTGCAAAGTATGGATCCTGTTAGTAATTTTCAGCATATGCCATTAGGGGATGGTTTGGAAAGACCTTTTCTTCAGGCCCTTTAGCTTCTAATCAATAAACGGAGTTGACATTTGGAAAACGCGTTAAAATGAAATGAATAAAAACAACATCCACAAAGTCGAATACAAAATAAACGGAGAGCTGGCACAGAGCCACATGTTTCTATTTAGTACCATAGACAGAATGTATAAAAAGAAAAACATGATCTTGTCTCAGTTTTTTTTTGTTCTCTTTATTTCCTCCAGCATATTATGTCCATCAGTTGATAATGACTCTATCGTTGTGCTTTCTATTTAGTTTGCCTTTTGATTGAGAAGAAATGGTGTCTATCGTTGTCTTCCTGAACTGGATTGTAATGCCACATGGCAGCTGTACTCCGAGCCAGAGACACACATCTACCCTCAAATCTAATAAACCAAGAGGGACTTTAGCTCCTCTCTGAGGTATTTGCCTCCCAGACATCAAGGAGTACAGCTGTCTCTCACAGTGCTTATTTGGAGCATTTCCTCCTTCATGTTGCTGTCGGAATCCATCTTCAGAATAACAACAACAGCATCATTTTCAGGTCATACTTTATAGATTTATAAGCCCTTTTAAAATAGAAAGCTTTTTTTGAACATGTCTTTTATTTTTTGTTAGACAAAATGTTTTTAATCTAAATTGAATTAGAAAAAAGTAAGTCACTTTGGAGACTAAGAAACTGTGTCCTAAAGCATAAAAAACTGTATTGTTACTTTTCCGTGACGTCTCCTCAGTCGCAATTTATTCCATGTTTTAAAAAATAAAATGTTTCTATTTTATCACAAAGCCATTCAAAACCTTTGAGTTAAATAGGATGTATACCTGTGAAGGTAACCATCCAAACACACTTAGTTCACGTGTAAGATAAGAAACTCAAATAAAATAAGCCAAAATATTCGGAAGAGAATAGTTGATCTTCAAAAGCTTGGTTCATACTTTCCAAATTAATTAATGGGGTGCTTTCCACTGTTTAAAAGATTTGCAAGTATAAAGAGCATGATAATGCCTTGTCAGTTTTGTTTGTATCGTTTCCCGAATACAAGTAAAAATCTGAACTTCAGTTTTAAAAAAAATATTTGTGGACAGAGCTAAAAAAAAAAAATGTTTGAGGAACGGGCTCAAATTCCAATTTACTAGTTTAAGTATTCCTAAAATGTTTGATGGAAGTTAGAGCATTTAAAAAGGAAATTTACAAAGTACAAATAACATGTTGTTATGATCTTAATATTTTGGACCTTTTGTTTCTGTTTAAGTTTTTTATTTTTTGGGGTTCTCAAGCTTGCTTTGATTTCTTTTGTGTTTTCCAGATTCATATCATTTTTGCATTCTTAGTTTTTCTCTTCCTGGTTATGTCTTTTCTTCATAATGTTGGTATTATGTATTTCTTGGTCTAGTTTTATTTATACGTAGTTATTCTTTCTCTTTTCTCTTATCTTTAGGTTTCAGTTCCTTTTCCTTTTAGGCTGCTCCAAAATTCTTGATAATTTTAATGATAAACCTCAAAAGATGAGACATGCAGATGCATCATGTTGACAGACACAGCTTAGTGAGTCAGTCAGTTAGAAACAACTCCTGTATCGGTCATATGACTTTCTAGAAACAGCATGCGCAACGATACCGAGAAAGAGTCTTTCTTACCAGAAAAACCCTTTTAGCAATCAGTTTTGCAGGCAGTACACCTAAAAGAAACTTGATAAATAATATGTTGCTGGATTTATGTGGACAGCAGAGTCCTGTGCACTTTATAGAGGCAGTGTATAAGGCTCCAGTTGTATTTTAGAGGCTTAATGACAGAAGTGGCCAACACCGGTTCTCAGGAGCCTCTGTCCTGTTCTTGGACTGCTGAATTACTTCCTCAGTGAGATATTGCATTCTGTAGAGGTGTGTTGATCAATCATTCATTTGATTCTGCTGTGTTGAACCAGGGGGAAATATAAAACATGTACTCTCTCCTTAAAGTATATGATTTGCCAACCCCTGTTGTTCAACTATGCTTGAAATTAGTATTAGTTTCAAAGGTACATTAAAAAGGATTGATTCATATGTGGAAAAAATTATGCATCTGTTTTTTGCATCTACTTAAGCATACTGAGTTACTTAAACACAATAGTTTCATATCCTAGCCTGCTAACATGAAATAAGTGTGTTAAAGTAGATGCAAGAAAAGGATGCATTATTTTTTTCAGTGTATACAGCGGGGGAAATAAATATCGAAAATGCCACCATTTTTCTGAGTAAATATATTTCTAGAGCTCCTATTGACACAACATTTTCAGATGTCGGTAAAAATCCATGCAATCCCCACATACAAAGAAATTAGAGCATAGATGTCCTGAAATTAAGTTATGTGTAGTAAACGGAAATGGAACAGAAAAATAAGCTAAACTGCATATTGGTATTTCTACTGTACTGTTGTCTCAAAGCATATGGTGCTTGGTTGTGCTACAGTATAACAGTCGGTGCCTTTTTTGGTGCTATTTGCATGATCCTCTCATGCATATGTAGATGTTCGGTTAACCTCTAAGTGTAAATTATCATTAGAAATGATTTTATGCGTCTATGTTTTTTGTGCAGTGTGCCTCTGTGTTACACAGTGATGAACTTGAGACCTGCCGACAGTCTGGATGTATTAGTCCTTAGCATCTAGCATCTTAAGTAGACATGTTAGACTTTTGCATAAAGGTTCACTGTATTCATCTCATAAGAACAGTTTTTTATTTGCTTGTTTCGATTAGCAAGTGAATTTAATGCTAATTCAACAGAAAGATATTTTTTTTTTACTTTGCTCCCAGACATAGCTCCATCTTTGTTGTCAGGTGCTGACAATATGCAGATAATTGAATTTGATCCTCCAGAACCAATATTGAAAACGCTGATGGGCACGCATGTCTCAGCAGACATCAGCAGCAGCATTTCTCCCGCTAGCTTCGTTTTCTTTGTCAGAGTTTCTTATAAAAAAAAAAAAAAAGAAATACAAAGACTTGTTAGTGCGTCAAACAACTCCATCATGTCAAAGAGTTCCAGGAATAAGGGTGACTCTGTAATGCGAGGAAGTAAAGTACTGAGTAACAGAGAGGCATGTGCAGGGACAATCTAAACTGATCTGCCCGGACAACTGAACTTAGTGTTATTTGCAATGTGAGGGATTTGCAAATACTGCAATAGGCAGCACCCCACTGACAATCAATAAAATGCAGCCTTTGTCCAGGCTAACAAATACAGCCTCAATATTTATTACACAAACAATGAATAAAGACTAGACATTCTTTATACTGTTTATACACGGTTCAGTGCATAGTAATACGCACATTATTCATTAAATTAATTTCCTGTGTAGCAGGTAAAATGTTCCTATTTGGAAAGAAAGGTAGAGGCTTAATTATTTCCCTGATGTTGGTAAGATTCACTGTTACAGTAAGTTAATTGTGTTTCTACATTTGCTCTCTTTTGAACTAGTAAATTCAAGATGGTTTTTGATGGTTTAAACAAATAATATCAAACTAGTCAAGGTAATCACTTCTTTTACACTAAACAAAAAAGTCCAAGCCACAAACACTGAATATGTGTACGGCTGAAGGTTTTAGTTAACTTTCAGCAATCTGGAATTTTAGTGCTATGGCCTTGAGTCCGGTGATCTGCACCTGATTTCTCCTGATAACACCTGGTGTTACATTTATTCCCTGCAGACAAAATTTGAATTCATGACTCGGTGGCTAGACGGTTTCTTAGTTGGAATTTAAAAAGCTTTGGTTGATTAATGTAGCCTTGTGTATGAGTTTCAACAAGACTAATCTCTGTCACACACAGATTGCTTATGTTCTCATTACACGTGGGTGTAAGTAATGACACTGGATCGTTGTTCACTGTGGCAGGACGGCAGAGATTTTTTTATTTTAATTTCAACACCGCACTCCTAGCTATACAAATGATTATCTGTGGTTGTTATTATTGCCTCCATTTATGACGCTAGTGCAATGCACTCAATCTCACCACATTACTGTTCATCACATGGAAGGGATGAGAGAAAGGATGACAAGAAATGGATGAAGTAAGTCATTCGCTGTGACGGGTTCACACAATGTCTAATCCCAGTGTGAATGTACTGACCAGCTGCCTGTAAAATCCATTCTTGCTGTCAGTGCCCCTGTTGTCTCTATCCTCTGCATATCCATTGCCATTGATCAGTGTCAGCAGGACAGATTTTGATGGCGATACAAGGCTGAATGAGAAAAATACATGATGGTTTAGGGGAAAGTTGTGATACTTTTTTATTGGTTTCAAAATATCTTGTATTGCTAAAATGTTTGAAATTTGCTATTGATCAAGAATCAGCAAATACGGACACCTTTTTATTTATTGAAAAGATTTTGCTCATTTTAATGGCTTTTTTTAGTGTGACAACTCTTTACAGATAGAACCTATAATGATGGATTTCAGTTGTTGTGGCAATTAGGCATAGCTAAAAAATAGGGATGTTAATTATTTCTTTCTTTGGTTGTAAGATGATGAAACGGGGAACTGCTCTGTCCTTATCTACTGCACTGTAATTATGACAAAATGAAAGAAAATACATTTACTTGGGAGGAACAAAACTCTGTTTTATCTCCAGTTGCTTTCTTTCTTTTCTCTGATATTCTCAAGTGGATTCACTCCTCAAATGGGGCTTAATAGGGATTTTTAAGTTCCCCTTTGCTAGAACTTGCTAGAAAAATTAGTGTAGTTTGGTGTTTTCCAAGTACAAAATAACAAACAACAAGCCTTTAGAAATATAAATTGCTTTTTGAAAGAGTCCTTTTTTGTCCATTTAATTAAGATGGCCAGCCCTCTGAGAAAGACAATAAATGTTGTGTGGTCATGCATGATAAGTGGGACTGCCTACTGGTTTATTTCCCACCTGCCTAATTCAGTGATGCCAGATGCCAAAGCTGACAGCTCAGTTAACACTGTAATTGTAAGATCATTGAGTACTAAATGGTCCAAATGAGAGAGATGGACATCATTATAACATAATATAATCATTTGCAGATAGAGAAACAATAACAGAAAAGTAGAAAAGACATAAAGAGGAATGTACAGTCTACTGCTCTGACACTGTTTTTGTGTTTGCTTTGTTGATTTTTACATTGTTAGACTTGAAACAAAGTGCTAACTGCAGCAGTTTCCAAAATTCCAAGGGTATCCAAA